AGAAAAAAAGGGGGTGGCCCAGCCAGCACCCCCCCCCCCCCCCCCCCCCCCTTTTTTTTTCTTTTGACGAAGAACATTATACCTGCACAGAAGACAAAATAAACAAAATCTAAATATTGAATTCTTAGCGCCCGCAATGTGCCATCCTAACTGCAACGACATCAACTCTCCAAGAAGGATATGGATCGAAATTGACTCTCAGATTCTCAATGCCCTCTTCTGCGTGACTGGATTCGGACTCGCTCCTTGGCGGTTCAGAGATCTGTATTTTCTTCTACAATATAGGTTCTCCAAGAAGGTGATTGCGCTTCGCCGGCTAGCGGGCATTCATCGAGGGTGGTTCCGGCTGCGCGGCTCCAACGAACTGCCATTACACCTCGGCCCGCGTAATGTTGGTCAAGACGAATTCCAGTCAGCTCCACGTTCCGCGATCCCCTTTCCGGAGGTCAAAGTCCCCGAAGCTCCTCTCACAGGAGTGCGAGCTCGGCCTACGATTTTGTGGAAGCTAGACCTGGTCATTTGGCTCATGGTGTCAAACACATTCTTGCAGTGTGCCCTTGCCGGTCTCATGTGGGGTATGAATCGGTATAATAGGCCGGGCTGGGCCACGGGACTCCTCATAGCTCTGGGCTGTGTTGTTGCCGGAGCTGGCGGACTTGTCATGTTTCTGGAGGGGAAAGCCGTCAAGGGCATAGAAGGTGTGCCGGTGAGCGAGAAAGATCTAGCTCGATTACAGCGGGACAGAGAGAAGGGTGTGTGGCACTTTAATAATATCAAGGGCAAGAATGATTTAAAGGAAAAGAGGTAGATCCTTGGAGCTGGTCCATTATCTTATTGTCATGATCTTTATAAAGGAGAGCCTTTGCGCGGGTATTAGAATTTTTTTTTTTTCCCCAATTATTATGAGGCGGTCGGCATTGATACTTTGGTAGGCCAAGTCAAACAATCATATCATAAAGACTCAACGGAATCTAATTTTGCAATTTACACGCATCAAACTAGAAAATTCAATCGCCAAGTTGCCAACTATCTGCTCAACGATAGGTGAACATCCACCTCCCCTTCACATCCAAGTCAACCCAAAGCGGGGCACGGATAACCTCACGTCTTCAACACACATAATCATCTTCCAGCTTCGCAAACGATGCGGCTCGTACCTCCAAGAATCGCAAAACACCCATGCGGCTGATCAACACGTCAACTCTATCGCCGGAGCTCTTCTACAGCGACGGAACCCCCGAGTACGCCATCCTCTCACACACCTGGGGCCAAGAAGAGCTCTCATTCCAAGAATTCCAGCGCCTCAACGCCGACAACAAGCACATATTCGCACACGGATTAGGCTACCAAAAGGTCATTGAAACATGCCAGCTGGCCCAAAGGACGGTCTCCAGTACGCATGGACCGACACGTGTTGCATAGACAAGACGAGCAGCGCAGAGCTCACAGAGGCCAATCAACTCCATGTTCGCGTGGTACCGGGAGTCGCAAGTCTGCTACGTGTACCTGAGCGATGTCGAGGTCAGTCCTGGGTCCGATGACGCGCATTCCGGGTACATAGACCGTGTATATGCTGCGTTTCGTGCGTGGCGCTTATTTACGCGTGGATGGTGTCTGCAGGAATTGCTGGCGCCGCGGTGCCTGCGGTTTTACGACGCCATGTGGCGAGGAATGGAGGAGAGGGACATTTTCAGCCGCTTGATTGCTCGGATCACCGGCGTTCCGGAGACGGTGCTCGTGTCGTCTACGAAAGCGACATCTACTTTTTTCCCGTAGCGTCGAGTATATCGTGGATGGCAAGGCGCCGCACGGCAAGGGTGGAGGATATGTCGTGTAGCCTGCTGGGGATTCTCGACATCAGCATGCCGATGCTGTACGGGAGAGCCAGAGAGCATTCTACCGCCTCCAGGAGGAACACATTCGGAAATACAACGACCTCTCCATCTTTGCCTGGACTGGCCAGACGATAACCACCTCTGGCGTGGCCATGGACAGGACGCGCGGCGAGGGGGCATCGAACTGTATTTCCATGGTGGGCTATGATATCGTTTTGTCGGCGGAGGTTGTTGAGCAGTCGGATGGCGTGCATGATCACTCGCTTTACCTTGACTGAGTGAGGAGTCCGACGTCGGACAACGCAATGACGGCCAAAACGGTGTTAAGAAATGACGCGATAGCGAAGACGAACGCACCCGAATAATAGACGAGCTGGGGGTCAAAGAGTAAACCACTGATTCTGGCTGCTTCAAGCCGTTTCGGCGGATTCGACTGGAGCCAAACCCCGCCACTATGCCCATCAAACGCACCGTGATGACGAACATCGATGTCATGGAGGCGTGGGCGACGGTTGTTCTTGATTTGACATGGACAGTATGCTTTGACTCATATTTCGCTATATACTTTTGTCTTTTTATGCCATTCAACCTTACTTGCCTCCCGTCTTACCCGTGGGGATGTAAAACAACACAACCCT